ATGTACTTGTTTCCAGACTAAGTTCGGTCGGATGTACCAAAATTTAGGTAATTTCGACTAATATTGGTCATTTGGTGCACCATTAACCCGAAATCGGTTGAAGATATATGTGCGAACTATATCCAAATCTGAACCGATCTTGATAAAATTTGGCAGAGGTATTGTTTGGCTGTATCTGATATATAATACTAAACGTCATTCTTGTTGGGCGCATATTACGAATGTAAGGGACTTAAACACCAAATTGGATGAAACATATATATGGGAGCTATAGATATATCTGAACCGATTTTCACCAAATTTGATTTACTTGCTTCTAGACTGAATTCGGTGGGTTATACCAAAATTCAGGCACAATTAACCCGAAATCGGATAAAGATATATGTGGGATCTATATCCAAATCTGAACCGATCTTGTTCAAATTTTGCAGAAGTATTTCTGGGCTGTATCTGGTCCGATTATCCACAATTTTAATAGGGTTCGTCGTCGTTGGGCCTAACAAATATTGTTTGGAAATTTTCATCTCAATCGGATAATAAGTTCGACCTGCATTTTTTTAACAAGAAAACATTGACGGAGTGCTTCTATGAAGATCCTCAAAAGTAACTATGGGTCTATTTTGCTCCCATCCCCACGTTGCAAACAAATGCACAAACACATAATACGCTTACCACTTTGTGGTGTAGGGTACAATGAAAATAATAGTTCTACGGATTTTAAACTACACTAAATTTCAGATTTTATGTTTTTTTTTTTTTAATTTTCTGGAGAGATATCAGTAGAACTTATGTTGGAAGATTTTATAGATTTATTTTTGGCAGAAATATTGTTTATACCTTACACCACACTGTGGTCAGGGTATTATGTATTTGTAGAGAAGGAAGAGAGGTACCCCTATAGTTCCTTTTGATGATATGCATAGAATTACATTCTTAGTCGATTTATGCATGTCCGTCCATTCGTCCGTCTGTTCATGTATTTCTGTAAACAATGTCGCGAAAAACGAATCCTTTTGAAATTGGAGATAATCAGTCAAAGTTTAGAAATAGCTCCCATATATATCTTCGTCCGATTTGCCTTTTATTATGGACCAAATGTTTTATATTATTTCAAATAGGATTGAATTTGGTACAAAAAAAAAACAATTTGATCCTAGAAATAAGTGCGCCAAATTTGGTGGAAATCGATTAAGATATAGCTATAGCTCCCATATATATTTTTCATCCGGTTTGTTGGTTTCCACAGCTATACTAACAATATTCGAGGTAATACATCAAATACAGCTCAAAAATACTTTTTCCAAATTTTATCGAGATCGGTTAAGATCTGGATATAGCTCCTATATATGTCTTTACACGATTCATTGTTCGCCAAATGGTCAAATGGATTTTGGCACATACGAACGAATTCAGCATGGACGAAAGCGTTTTCTGACTTTTAAGTAATTTTTGATTTTTGAAGTACTGGCGTATTCTGAGATCTATAGTCATATTTTATAAGGAACAATTTTGCAGAATATATTGATATGTTAAGATTTTATCTTAGATGTGATCTCAAAGGAGTTTTTGAACAATTTCGGAGGAAAGGACCTATGAGACTCCTTTAATGCTCCCAAACACAATAATTACCTAAACCAATGGGTTCGAATGAATATTAACTGCAAGATTTTCAAAAAGGTTCAAATGGACGTAACTATCCCGCCCTTTTTTATACCCTCCACCTTGGAAATGAAGGTATATTAACTTTTTCATTGCGTTTGTAACATCCCTGTCTGTCTGCTGAGATCACGATACAGTCCACATTATTTGACAAAGCTGAATAATTTGTATTGTGTCTAGGATGGTTGGTTTTGAAAATGAGATATATCGGTCCCCGCTTTGGTATAGTCCCCATATAACGGTACATTCCGATATATATTGATGATTTTTTTTTTGATGATTTTTATCACATTTTTTCACGGATTTGTCTGAAAATTGGTACTTGTAGGTCATGATGGGTTCTAGCTCCGGTGGTGAAACTTTGCATTTATAGGTCCACGTTTTGGTATAGTCCCCATATAACGGTACCTCCCGATATTTGGTATTTTGATGATTTTTGCCACATTTTCCCAAGAATAGTCTAAAAATTGGTATTTGTGGGTGGAGGGTATTAAAAGTTCGGTCCGGACGAACTTAATGTTTTTTTATACCCTCCACCAAAAAAAGTATGGAGGGTATATTAAGTTCGTCATTCCGTTTGTAACTCATCGAAATAATCAATCTTGATCAACGTAAAATTCTAAGACGATTTAGTCCTGTCCGTCCGTCTGTCCGTCTGTTGTAATCACGCTACAGTTGCATAGATCTCTCTTTTGTCTGCAGGCAGGTAATGTTCAAAGATGGGCTATATCGGTCCACGATATCGTATATCCCCCATATAACTGTACCCCCCGATATTCGGTATTTTGATGATTTTAGCCACATTTTTCAATGGAATTGTCTGAAAATCCACACAAGTAGTTTCTTGTGAGTACTTTGCCCCCTGAGAGAGAATTGTCTATACAGGTCCACGATATCGTATATCCCCCATATAACGGTACCCCCCGATATTCGGTATTTTTATGATTTTACCCACATTTTTCATCGGAATTGTCTGAAAATCCACGCAAAGAGTTCCTTGTGGGTACTTTATACCTCGGCGGAGAATTATCTATATAGGTCCACGATATCGTATAGCCCTCATATAACGGTACTCCGCGATATTCGGTATTTTGATGTTTTTAGCCATATTTTTCAACGGAATGGTCACAAGGGGTTCTTTATACACAAGGGGTTTTTTGTGAGCACTTTACCCCCCGACACAGAATTCTCTATATAGGTTAACGATAACGTATAGCTCCCATGTAACGATACCCCGCGATATTCGGTATTTTGATGATTTTAGCCACATTTACCAATTGTAGTGTCTGAAATTCCACACACGGAGTTATTTGTGAGCACTTTACCCCTGAAACGGAATTGTCTATATAGGTCCACAATATCGTATATCCCCCATATAACGGTACTCCCCTTTATTCGGTATTTTGATGATTTTAGCCACCTTTTCCAATGGAATTCTTTGAAAATCCACACACTAAGTTCCTTGTGAGTACTTTACACGCAGACATAGATTGTCTTTATAGAACCACAATATCGTATATCCCCCCATATCGGCACCTTCTTATATTAGATATTTTAAAGATTTTAAAAGAATTTTTAATGGATTTTATTATTTTTTTTTTTTTTTTGAAAATTTTCTAATTCGTTCCAAATGGTGGAGGGTATTCAAAGTTCGGCCCGGCCGAACTTACGGCTTTTTTACTTGCTTTTGCTTGTTGATTACCTCGCATTGTATACTTTCAAAAAACCGATCCACTTTTTTCATATTTAAGCCATACATAATATTCTACTCGGGTTTTCTTGCAAATTTTTTTTGCGTCGCACAGTGTTATTATACCCTACACCACAAAGTGGTCAGGGTATTATGTCTTTGTGCATTTGTTTGTAACAGGCAAAAGGAAACGAGATAGACCCATAATTCCTTTTGATGATCTGCATAGAATCACATTCTGAGTCGATTTATGCATGTCCGTCCGTCCGTCTGTCCGTCCGTCCGTCCATGTATTTTTGTAAACAAAGTACAGGTCGCATTTATTGCCCGATCCATATGAAATTTTGCACAGATCATTTGTTTGGCCCAAGGACGAACCCTATTGAAATTGGAGATAATCGGTCAAAATTTAGATATAGCTCCCATATATATCTTGGTCGGATTTGCTTTTTATTGTGCACCAAACGTGTAATATCAGCCCGAATTGTATGGAATTTTGCCAAATTAGGCCTGAAAATATGTATGCCAAATTTGATCGAAATCGGTTCAGATATAGCTATAGCTCCCATATATAATGTTCATCCGATTTGTTATTTTTGTCCACCGCTGCCGTAATATGCACTCTGCAACAACAATATTTAGGGAAATATATCAAATACAGCTCAGAAATACATTTGCAAAATTTTATCGGCATCGGTTCAGATTTGGATATAGCTCCCATATATAACTTCGACCGATTTACCTTTTATTGTGCACCAAACGTCTAATATTTGTCCAAATGGGATGGAATTTGGCACATACGACCGAATTGAATTGAAGCTAGTATGTCAAATTTGGTGAAGATCGGTTCAGATATAGCTATAGCCTCCATATATATTATTCATCCGATTTGTTATATTTGTTACCCACAACCGTAATATGCACTCCGTAACAACGATATTCAGGGAAATATATCAAATACAGCTCAGAAATATCTTTGCCAAATTTTATCGAGATCGGTTCAGATTTGGATATAGCTCCCATATATATATTTATCCGATTTCAAATTAATTGTGCACCAAATGGTCAATACAAGTCCGAATTTAAAAGATACAAATGCTTCGGCATGTTTAGTCCTTTGAACTTTAAATTATAATTATAATCATAGCGTGTATGATTGAATTCTCCCATAAAAACTTTTAATTGTTATGTGGAGCTCTACTAAATTAGCAAAGTGGTGTAGGGTTTCATAAAGTCGGCCCCGCACGACTATAAGGCTTTCTTTACTGGTTTTATTTTTAACATATATCGCATTTTTTTGGAGCCTCTTCATTATACTACCCATCTCTTGTGGTCCAACAGAGACTGATGAACTCTCATCTTTCATTGCCTGGAAACACTTCATTAATTAAGTTGAACATTTTTTAGTTAAAGTGAACCTTACTAAAGTTCTTGATGGTTCGTCAAGGTTCATCTATAATATTCGACTGAAACATTAAAACTTGAAATATTTGTGGTGCATCATAATTACTTTTTCCAGAAAATGTCAGTCCTTGGATAAAAAAATACCACACAGAATTTTCCCTCCAATTATTTTTTTCAAATCTCATATTTATGGTTAGTTGTAATAAAATACATACGATAGTTTTTCCGTTCGTTTCGAAACACTTACCCGCATTTGAGAGTATTCGGCTAGAAATCCAATAACAATATTATCCGCATCCTTATTGTTGTTGTTGGTGTTGCTGTTCATGTTGTTGCGGTTGTAGTTGTGGTTGCGACTCTGGTGGTTGCGTTGCATTACATTGTAATTGTTAATAACATTGATGTTGTTGTTATTGTTATTGTTGTTTGTGTTGCTGTTACTTTTGGTTTGAATTAAGGGCTTCACAGCAGCCACCGCCTCGGCAATTGGAATTATAGATTCATTCATCATCAGGGGCTGGGAGTGTGGAATTGGTTGTTGTAGTAGCTGCTGCTGCTGCGAGGAAGACACTGACGTTGTTAAAACTCCATTTGTTGTCACCGCCATCGTTGCCGTTTTGTTGCGGTAATGCTGTTGAGCATTTAATTGACTCGTTATGCAAAAAATTGCATAAATTAAAAAAATTGTTTTATCCATTTTGATTTTATTAATGAAACTTCTTAGGTTTTTTTTTCCGTCTTTTACTTGAAGTTTATTTCATTTCATATTTTTCTTTTGTTTTGAGGCGTTTTTATTTCCACAAATGACAATTCTATATTGGAACACATGCAAAAAAAAAAAAATAAATAAATCATATTTTTAAATTCCAAGGAAGGTATATTTTTGTTTGTGTGTTTATAAATTGCTGGATTTTTCATCACCAATATGTGATCATTATATCCAAAGAGGATTTTGGTATATTGGATTTTCCTGATTTTCTTCGAAAGACCTGGGAGAACGGCATTGGGTGGTGTGTAAATTTAAATACTTAAACGTCTGCAATATAAAACTTGGCTCATGTCTGATCTGAAAGATGTTTAGTTTTATTCTTCCATTGAACAAATCTAGTTGGGTGTAGCTTAAATTGGCCTTGAAGGGTACTTTTAGAACAAACAAGTAAAAAAGTTGTATGTTCGGCCGGGTCGAACTTTGAAAGAATTTGGCAATTTTGGAAAGAATTTGACAATTTTCAAAAAAAAAAAAAAAAATCCGTTAAATATTCTGTTGAAATCTTTAAAATACCGAATGTAGCCGTTATATTGGGGTCTATACGACGACATGGGCCTGAAAAGACTATTTTTATCATAAGCCATGACTATATTCAAATGCGGAACTTGAAAAAAACATTCGGTGAATAATGTAGCTAAAATCATCAAAATACCGAATATCGGGAAGTGCTGCTATATGGGGGCTATACCAAAATGTGGACCTGCACAGATAATTTTCTGTCATAGGCTGTAACATCCATTACGAACTTCAAATACCAAATTTGAAACGATTCCGGTGAATAATGTGGCTAAAATCATCAAAATAATGAATATCGGAATGTGCTGTTATATGGGAGATATTTGGAGTTAAGACTACTGTGGGAGTGTAGAATTGGGGCATGTAGGACACTTTGGAAATTTGTACCTATCTGTACTAAATGTCACTAAATTGGGTGATTGAAATATACAATTTTTATATTTAAGTCGTATGTCATGCGTATCCTGGGTAGATGGAGCTGGTTTCGGAAATATGTACTATAATTGTACGAAAAGTACGGAACGGTGCTATACATGGTATTGGGTGATGTGTAGACACACAATTCTGAAATTTAATATTTGGAAATGTGTGTTATAATATTCTATGAAAAGTACAAAATGGTACTATATGGGTGGTATTGGGTAAAGGAATAGAGCTGTAATCCCGATATTTGATATTAGGGGCCCTGTTGGTGTCTGTGATTGAGAAAAGGTGCATATTTTTGATAAAAGTGCAATATATATATATATATACTATTTTTTTTTTTTTGTTAAGTGTAGACCACCGTGTGATAAAAACAATTTTAAAAACTAGTGCAGGAATTATTTAAAAAAATAATACATCACCAGATATCGAAGATAATTGACTTCACTAGAAGAGCAAATTACATTACGAAACCGGTAAAGAAAGTCTTAAAGTCGGGCGGGACCGACTTTATGATACCCTACACCACTTTGCTAATTTAGTAGAGCTCCACATAACAATTTAATGTTTTTATGGGAGAATTCAATCATACTCGCTATGATTATAATTATATTTTAAAGTTCAAAGGACTAAATATGCCGAAGCATTTGTATCATTTAAATTCGGACTTGTGTTCTCCATTTGGTGCACAATTAATTTGAAATCGAATAAAGATATATATGGGAGCTATATACAAATCGGAACCGATCTCGATAAAATTTGGCAAATATATTTCTGAGCTGTATTTGATATATTTCCCTGAATATCGTTGTTACAGAGTGCATATTACGGTTGTGGGTAACAAATATGACAAATCGGATGAACAGTATATATGGGTGCTATAGCTATGTTTGAACCGATCTTCGAAAAATTTGACATACTAGCTTCTAGACTCAATTCGGTCGTAAGTGCCAAATTCCATCCCATTTGGACAAATATTAGACGTTTGGTGCACTGTAAAATGGCAAATGGGACGAAGTTATATATGGGAGCTAAAGGGTGATTTTTTTGAGGTTAGGATTTTCATGCATTAGTATTTGACAGATCACGTGGGATTTCAGACATGGTGTCAAAGAGAAAGATGCTCAGTATACTTTGACATTTCATCATGAATAGCCGAACGATCTGCCACAACGTCGAATTTTCAGTGAATGGGCCCTAGAAAAGTTGGAAGAAAATCCGCTTTTTTATCGACAAATTTTGTTCAGCGATGAGGCTCATTTCTGGTTGAATGGCTACGTAAATAAGCAAAATTGCTGCATTTGGAGTGAAGAGCAACCAGAAGCCGTTCAAGAACTGCCCATGTATCCCGAAAAATGCACTGTTTGGTGTGGTTTGTACGCTGGTGGAATCATTGGACCGTATTTTTTCAAAGATGCTGTTGGACGCAACGTTACGGTGAATGGCGATCGCTATCGTTCGATGCTTTGTTGCCAAAAATGGAAGAACTGAACTTGGTTGACATGTGGTTTCAACAAGATGGCACTACATGCCACACAGCTCGCGATTCTATGGCCATTTTGAGGGAAAACTTCGGAGAACAATTCATCTCAAGAAATGGACCGGTAAGTTGGCCACCAAGATCATGCGATTTGACGCCTTTTGACTATTTTTTGTGGGGCTACGTCAAGTCTAAAGTCTACAGAAATAAGCCAGCAACTATTCCAGCTTTGGAAGACAACATTTCCGAAGAAATTCGGGCTATTCCGGCCGAAATGCTCGAAAAAGTTGCCCAAAATTGGACTTTCCGAATGGACCACCTAAGACGCAGCCGCGGTCAACATTTAAATGAAATTATCTTCAAAAAGTAAATGTCATGGACCAATCTAACGTTTCAAATAAAGAACCGATGAGATTTTGCAAATTTTATACGTTTTTTTTTTTAAAAAAAAGTTATCAAGCTCTTAACAAATCACTCTTTATATCCCAAATCCTAAATCAAAATCGATCTCAATAAAATTTAGCAAATGTTTTTCTGAGCTGTATTTGATATATTTCCCCAAATATTGTTGTTACAGAGTGCATATTACGGCTGCGGAGGACAAAAATAACAAATCGGATGAACAATACATATGGGAGCTATAGCTATATCTGAACCGATTTCCATCAAATTTGGCATACTTATTTTCAGGCCTAATCTGGTCGTATGTGCAGAATTCCATCCCATTTGGGCTAATATTACACGTTTGGTGCACAATAAAAAACAAATCGGACGAAGATATATATGGGAGCTATATCTAAATTTTGACTGATTATCTCCAATTTCAATAGGATTCGTTATTAAGCCAAACAAATGATTTGTGCAAAATTTCATCTGGATATGGCAATAATGGCGAACTGTACTTTGTTTACAAAAACACAGGGAGAGACGGACATACAGACGGACGGACATGCATAAATCATCTTAGAATGTGATTCTATGCAGATCATCAAAAGGAACTATGGGTCTATCTCGTTTCCTTTTGGCTATTACAAACAAATGCACAAAGACACAATACCTTGGCCACCTTGTGGTGTAGGGTAGAAAAACTGCGAAGCTGAGGGTATTTTCAGTTCGAGAAATCCATTCAATAGGAGATGAAAATAGCACCATTTAAGTTAGACCACCGTTTAAAAACTGTCATCTTACGAAATTCCGATAAATCAATATTTTTTCTAAAGTTTTGTGCCGTGTTTTTCTAAGATTCAAATGTAATCCAACACATTTAAAAATGTTCCCTAACAATCCTCCCCGATGTGCAACAACAATCCTTTTGCATTATTTATAATTTGTAAATAGCAAATTATGCGATTTATTTTTTTACTCTCTCTTCGTCGAAACGATCTTAGCAAACTAAGAAATTGTACTCCCGCCATTAGAGGATTCCACATTTACATATAAAATTAAATAAACGTTTTCCTGAAAAGCATTATTTTACAACACACACACACACATACTCATGTCTTGCATGCAATTCCGTACTGTATTTACTAAGACACTAACACTTGAACTTAGTTCAATGCCAAAGGGAATTCTGCAATATCTTATCTCTATCTCCCACTTTCGCTTGAACAATTTATTAAATTAATTTGTTTATATCTATGACTTGTTGACATCTTGTCGAAAGGGAAATACAATTGTCGTAGTTGTACATGTATTGCACACACACACACATATACACACTACTAAACTAGGATTTTGCTGAACGAACAACGGTTAAATGTTTAAATTCCGTTTAACACCACTAGTATCCTACTGTAGACTGATGGAAATATTTGTGGGCAAACTGACTTTTTGTTCTGCCGTGTCCTAGCAACGGACAAGGCACTTTCGTATTTTTTGGATCGTTTCGGCTGCTTCGTAAAATCGTTTTTCTGTGTTTGGTAGCATTTGTTTTAACACCATATGTGTGTGTGTGCGAATGTGTATTGGCGTTATCCTGCCGTTAAATGAAATGGTGTGTAAAATTTAAACCAATGTTTGGCATTGGTTATTTATAAATGAAGTCTTATGTTTCGAGTTTTTTGGAAACCTACACCCCGACGAGGCGGGGTAGTATGTACCTCGGAATATTAATGCTATAGAAAAATGTTGTTTAATAACAAAAAAAAAAGACTTAAATTTAATTTATGTAAAGGAAGTTTTTTGAGATTTTTTATCTACCAGCAAGTGGCCTTTACTTCGTCAGCGAAAAGCCCACATTAAAATTTTATTTTCGTCCCAATACTTTGTGTTAGGTCTTTTTATACCTTCCACCGTTCTATGGAGGGTATATTAAGTTTGTCATTCCGTTTGTAACACCTCGGAATACACATTTTAGACCCCACAAAGTATATATATATATTCTTGATCAGCATAAAATTCTATGTCGATCTAGCGATGTCCGTCCGTCTGTTCGTCTGTGGAAATCACTCTAGCTTCCGAACGAATTGAAGTAGATTGAAAAAATTTTGTTCAAATGTATGTTATGTCTGCAGGACTTTTGGTATTGAAAATGGGCCATGTAGGTTCACGTTTTGGTATAGCCCCTATATAACGGTACCTCCCGATATTCGATATTTTGATTATTTTAGCGAATTTATTCA